TGGTCAAACGGGACGCTCCCGTATCGCTCGTATACCTTTCTCTCTCGCACTCCTTGCCACTCTTGGATTCACTTGCGGCCTACAAAGAACAAAGGCATTCCACCTCCATGTACTGTATATTCAAAGGATAGGAGTCAAAAGAGTTGATCAAGTGAAGTTTTGGAACGCAGCCTTGATAATACGTATGTATGTATACATACACATACAATCGATTCGAGCTTTCGAGCTCAGTATAGAATGTACATACATACAGTGCGACTAGTGCGAGCGGTTTTGAATAAACGATAGGCAGATTTTGACTCGAATGACTCGTATTTCGTAAATTGCATCCCTTATAATTTTATTGTGCCGTCGTACATTCGTTCCGTGAGACAAAAGAGGATGAAGCCGCGATAATTCGCCGGAATGTCCACTGATTATAAGCGATATCCGCGAAATGTTAGATGAAATTGTTAAAATTGTACGCTATCGATTGAGTGTCTGATTGGTTAAGCCAGTGCTTAACGCAACTATGGCCGCCCTGCCGTCACCTACGCAGGTACACAGCTATTTCGACGATTTTACGAGGATATAACGTTTAATGAAACTCGCGGGCGCTGTGGCAGCTTCCTCTCGTAAAATCCCGTTGTGATTCGCATCAAACTGTCGTGCTAATCGCCGAACTTTCGCGTCTTCGTCGCGATATCTTGTCTACCTCGGGCGGTACAGTTTGAGGCATCGTTCCTTTTCGATGGCGGAATATCGCGTTTTACGTGTATTTCAAGAAATTTTTCACTCACCGGAGAGGAAGTCTCTATTATTTAATTAATGCGCTATTCCCGAAATACGCGAGTTACCTTCCTGTGGTGGTTTATTGCTCGTATATTCAGTATGAATAAATGTCAACGAGCAATTTCGCTTTTGTTTTCGCTCATTTTTCATTATTATTCATATTGACATTAATACATTGACATAATTTGTGAACAGATAATTGAATCTATTTTATTGCTTATATTGATTATTGTGGCTTTACTTGTTGCAGATAAGAACTAATGCATTTAAATTTGTGTCTTTTACAGGTGGCTGGAAACCATACCGCGATATATGAAGCTTATTATAATCAGGTACACATTGTTGCTTGTAATACATACAAAAGTACAATTATAGGTGTATCAATAATTATCGATTTTTCAAACATACATTTTTCTCTTAGATCGATCCAAATGGATATGGACGGGTTGAGGCGATGGACGCTGCGAGATTTCTCAAGAAGTCTCAGTTGAGTGATGTTATTCTGAGCAAAATATGGGATATGGCTGATCCACAATCGCGAGGCTCCTTAGATAAGTCTGGAATGTTTGTTGCACTTAAATTATGTGCATTGGCTCAGACGGGAAAAGATTTGAATATGTCTAATCTAAGCCTCGAATTACCACCGCCCAAAATGGTAAAATTGCATGTACATACGTACATATATATATATATATAAATTTTTTGACGATTGCAGCAAACATTACATTGTCTATCTTCTTTAATGTCAGGGAGACATCCCGGTTGTTCTGCAGAAGACTATTACCAATGCTCTACCTGTAATAACTTCTGTCAATAATGGAGATTGGTCAATTAATCCTACAGAACGGGCAAAATATGATCAGCTCTTTGATAGCTTACAACCATCTAATGGCTATATATCTGGAAATAAAGTAAAAGGTGTTCTTATGGATAGCAAACTTCCTTTAGACACTCTTGGCAAAATTTGGGACTTGGCAGATATGGACAAAGATGGTATGCTGGATAGACATGAATTTGTAGTTGTAAGTATTGATTATTTTTTTGTATTTTATGCCTAAAATAACTTTTGCACAATGTATGGATTGTTCGAAAGAATTTGTAATAGCAATTATATGAAGCACTAAAATTAATTTGATTGAATATTACTAATTTTCTTTGCAACTATTTGTATGAAGTGAAATTACTTGTTTTTCTTTTCTCTCTAATTTTGTGATATTATGCAGGCTATGCATCTTGTATATAAAGCATTGGAAAAGTATGCAATACCAAGTGTACTTCCACCAGAATTAATGCCACCTGGTAAGAGGAAAGATATTATTCCTAAGACCAAATCTCCTACATTGATGGGCATGGCAATCACGGCATCGCCATCACCGCAGTCGCAAACACCGCCGATCCCACCCTTACCAAATACGACAACCGTAAAAAGCTTGACTGGGTTAGATGCTGTAAAAGTATTTATCTTTTGAACTTGTAATTTAAGAACTTTTAATGCTTATTACGTTTCCACATTAATCAAAATTGCTAATTTCCCTGTACCGTATATTTGCAGACAAGCGCGCAACATTGGGTAGTTTCGGCCGAGGATCAAATAGCCGCGGAGAAATTATTTTTACAAGCCGACCTGGACAGAGATGGATTTGTTTCTGGTATAGAGATAAAGGATGTCTTCCTACAAAGTGGACTTCCACATCCTGTGCTAGCCCATATATGGTAATAGTATTTTATTTCCAGCAATTTTTTCAAAACTCTGTGACGTTAACGAATTTAATGAATTTACATTTAATGAATTAGGAGTTTGTGCGATATTTGTCAAAGTGGAAAACTAAATAAAGAACAATTCGCCATAGCCATGTGGCTTATCAAGCAAAAACTCAACGGCATAGATCCTCCGGCAAGTTTAACTCCTGAAATGATACCGCCTTCTATACGGAAAGCTGGGGAAACTATAGTGGTAATATTAAAATATATTTTTTTAACGTGCTCTTTTACTACAACATGCTGTATTTTTAAATTAAAATTTAAAGATGGAAGTCATTGCTTTCCTTCCATCCTTTGTGCATAAACGCAAACACGCCATTTTACAAATAGTCGAACAGTTTAATCTACATATCAGCGTTTACAAAATAGCTTTTATTAATGCATCGTATATCGCGTTCGTCCCTTAAATGCTCTCCAAAACATTATCAGAACCACGCTAATTATGACGATGGCACCAATTAAAATAACATGATAATTCAGCTTGAATTCTATTTCTCCAATTACGTTCAGCTTTATTACTCCAGCAATTTCGTTATTTTGCCAACAGCTAGTAGTGAAATAAGTTTTGGGATTATTATGTTCTTATTGTGGTTCTTGTTTATTGATAAATTTGATTTACCTGTATATATTAGCATCGTCAAATTTCAAAGATTCAAATATTATTTGCATCTGAGGATTAATATGAATTCTTCCGTTTGATTGGAATTTAATGTGAGATGGATTTATCGTTTTATCATCGACTCGCCAAACAATCGGAATATCTGCATTCAGATTTCTAAAGTAAATTGTAAAATTATTCTTAACATTTATTCCATCGAAGACATTAGAATTTAATATTGTAAGTTTTACCCTGGACAGAGAAGTTTGATCTTTTTGTCGTGTTTTTCATAAACAACACTACGTGCAATTGATGGTAATGGCTCAGGCATTCCTTGAATCATAGAAAATATACCAGCACTATTGTTTGCACTTTCCAAAATATTGCCCTTCTCATCACGCACCTCAAATATTATATTTTTCCGACATTTTTTCTGTTGCAAAAATAATATTCTAATTATTTGATGCTCGTTAAAAATTTTTGATCCATCGCTGCAACTGTATTAGATTATTTCTAAAGTGCATCGTATAAATATTTTTCTTGTATATCAGAATAGTTCCTTGCATCATTTAATGTATTTATATAGGGGAAAAAATGTTAGCAGCACAGCAACGGAAGAATTTATATTATACTCTGTCCAGCAACAGAATATATACGATCGCGTAGGGACAGCATAGTGAGGGAAAGTGAGAAAAGCGTTGCGCGCTACTCAGTACATTATACGTAAATATGGCGCGCGCTTGCACCTATTCTTGCTTCTTATATCAGACTTCGTGTACTGTAGATGCTGTTTAAAAGTTTTGTGAAAGTTTTTGTGCATACCTTGCAATATTGTCTCATAATTTGTTTTTTATTTTTGAATTTTATTTTTGAACTTTACTAGCAGAAAAATCTTAAAACCTATATCAGACTAAAATCAGAAGAGACAAAACCAATATCAAGTTTAGTGAACTTTGCTTTGATTGATCAAATTTCAATCCAATCTCAATCTTTCTGATACAGGCATAACACTTGTTACATTCGACAGGTATTTCGAGAATAAATAAATGCAACGGTCAGTTTGCCAAGTGATCTAATGTTCTGAGACTAGTGGCATTAAATACAGCATAGTGGAGAGGGAGGCTTTCTAAGTATTCTGCAGGTGGAAATCTGTGGGCGCGAAATTGATCAGTTTTCGTCCTATCCATATATATTCTCTCGATGGGCAGAGTATAACTAATAATAAGTAATAATTTAATTGAAAATAATTTTGTTAATTCGATAATATTATTAATGAAACAAATAACGTTTTATCAAAACAATCATGTGAGCAAAAACATTCACAATTTTTTTCTCTAATATAATTCGATATGGTTGTGATGAGAAGTCGTCAACTTACAATACTAATGTGCATACCTTGCAATATTGTCTCACAATTTCAGTTTTTTTACTTTTGATAACGGAAATTAATCGTACTTGTTCTGGAAGAAGTCTCGATTTGCACGGTAATTTGTTCTTAAATAACATTAATGCTGTTTTTAATTGAACCTTCAAGGTTGCATTTATTGCTTCCATTTGCGTCATGCCTTCGTGCGTTTGATTTCGTTTGGCTTAAAATTTAACAAGAATTTAAGCGAGGAAAAATGTTAAAGAAAACCTTTTGTTTACCTTTCCTTATATCTCGCTTCGCATGTCGTAGTTTATTTATTGCACTTTCTTCAATAAAAGATCCGTGCTCTAACATTTCTGAAAGAGCAACGGTACAGTAACCGTATCGCAGCTTTATTCCGACTTCGTCACACATGGAGCAAGGAGTCCATGTTGTCCAAGTGGTATAAACCTTCAATTTGTATTCCGGCACATTTTCCACCGCTTGCAATGCATAAGACGCTCTATACGAATGTACAATCACATTTGTTTCCAAATTGCTTTCGACATGTAAATAGTAAACTGATCCTATAGTATCTCCTACTTCACACCAATATGTCCCTGCTTCTTCTAACTGAGAATTATTAATTATTCATTTATAATTATTGACTTTATCAATTAATTATTGAAAAAAATTATTGAAAAAAATAATATATTTTATTTTTAATATTAATATATGTATAAAAATATCGTGGATTTTCTGCAGTTATGTATCATATACGGTATACTGTCTAAAACTTCACACCTTGACATTATATATGATGATATAACGGTTATCTGGTGAATTGACAATGTGATCTCTATTCTGCAGCGTACTTTTAGCGCTGTTACTTTTATTACTGCTGCTATTAAAGTACCATTCTATTAGAGACGTTACACGCATCTCCATCGGCGAGATACAAATTTGACATTTTAAACTGTAAATCAGTTCGTTGTGAGTTTTGCATTGTAATTGTGCATGGCAAATTTTTATTTTCTTAATTACATTACGGAAGTTCCCTCGAGTGCTATAAGCGCGCTTGGATAAGTGATTTTATCATTCTTCATATCTGCATATATTTTTTCCAAACACTTGTAATAATCTAGCCATTGTTGTTTGTGTAGCTGTCTTAAGGTCTCGTTAGATCTTGGATATTCATATTCGTCGACGTTCAAAAGTATTTCGCCTTGTTATTACAAATGCAATAACTTAAATATTTATGATTTATGATTACAATTTATATTTGCACGTTATAGATCGATATGTGAATACCTAGTCATTTATGTGTAATTAAAGCGTCTACCTACCATACTTAAAATTAAACGCTTTATTAATTTTTTTTCGTAATTCTTCATGCTTAGTTAACAAATTTGATGGGAATAAAGCTAAGGATATGTTATTGAAATAATAGATTAAGATTGGTATTACATATATCTTCATCATCGTCATTGTATAGCGTGAAGTATTTACAGTATATGAAATAAATGCCAGTCTAATGTTCAGTTAATTTTTTGCGTGCTAATATAAAAGTCTGTTCTTTATAGCTGAACTAATATGTATGTATACATATACATATTTGAAATGATACATATTTGAAGTTTGATGAAAGCAGGATAGAAAGTTTTAATGCAATTCGGTGCAGCGACAAAGAATGAGCCTATACTATTATACAGCTTTTGAGCAAATATAAATACATTATTTATACAAAATCGAGTACAAGCTAATCTATTGAAGAATGTTAATAAAATACTTGTATACTTATAAAACTACGCAAAATTGTTAAAACGAAAATTAATCTATGATCTAAAAATTAACAATAAATTAAACGAACCAGAGCTCTTAATGGCACAGACTTTGAACGAATCCAATAACGTTGAAAGAATCCATGTGAGCGATATACATTGTGGGGTGTGTCGTTTATCTTGCACACATCCAAATATCTCGAAAAATACGTAAGAAAAATGTTTCAAACAAAAGTTATATGAAATGGATATGAAAGGGAACAAATAATGATAAAATAAATTTCACAAAACAATTTTTTAAGGTCAAAAAATATAATAGATATATGGCAAGATAAAGTATTAAATTTCTCATAAAATATTGATTTTTTTATAACTTTATCTTTAATGATTTTGTATGCAGAATAATTAGAGGAATCATATTATTAAAAAAAAATCATACTGTTCCATTTAAAAAAGTGGAGGGATCTTCATGTGATCTTGAAAAATCGATTTTTTAAATGAAATTGATTTTATTACTATTTGTCCGTCTTCATATCCTATAACTTTTGTCTGAAACATTTTTCGTATCTTGCGTATCTTTCCGTATTTTTAGAGATATTTGGATGTGTCAAGATAAATGATACACCCTGTATACAAGAATTTATAAAATGCAAACTTTGTGACAGCAGTGTTACATTCATATAGCTTGTAACATCTTAGAAAACAGCCTTTGAATTTTTACACGCACATTCAAGAAATATACTAGAAATAAACGTACTAAAAACGTTCTGTGAATTTACCTACATTAGAATTACACAATTAATACGTTGTTTTTTATATTAAAATTGTAATTTGAATTATGTTTAGTTAATTGAGATTTTTACTCTCGCATTTTTTTCTGAAAATTCTTTATATAATTTTTTTATATAAGTAAATTTCTATATAAATTTTTGAGAATTCCTGTATAATTTTATAATTTTTTAGAAAATTTCTCAGATTTTCCTGTATGAATTGGAACTTATCAAAAATACTGAGAAAGCCTACATATTTTCTAGAATTCTTTATACATATATTGTGAATAGAATACATCGAATTTTTCCTAAGATTATTTATTCAATAATTTTTGAAGAAAACTTACGAAATCTGAAGAAGGTTAAGGTTTATTTTTTAAAAATGTTCATAAATTTAAAATATGAAAAATTCTTGAAAATTTGAGATTTTAATTTTTGTTTATAAAAACATAATTTGTACATCTAATATAAACGAATTTTACATGAAATGAATGCTGTTTTTTTTTTGTATGATAGGAAATATTACAACGACGATCCGATATTAACATTTCGAATGTGCTTATACTACAGGAAAACAATAACATATCAGGCTATTCGAATCCGGAGTTGGATATGATAAGCAAAGACATAGCGGAACTCGTACGGGAAAGACAAAGCATGGAGCAAGATATAGCGCAAAAGGAAGCCGACATTAAGATAAAAAATGGGGAAATTAAAAGCCTTCAAAGCGAATTAGACACCCTCGCGGCAACCTTGAAGCAACTGGGAAATCAGAAGGGTGAGGCGCAGAAGAGATTGAACGACTTAAAGGCGCAGGTAAACAGAAAGTTCAATAATGTACTGACTTGCTTATTGAATGTGCGCGGCACTGCTTTTTAGGCATAACTACATGCGGTACGCATATACAGGGTGTCCCAAAATTTGCGAATCAAAATAGCAAGAATGTCTTTGAAAAATTAAGTAAAAAAGTTATTTGTAAATTTTTATTTTAAGCAGTAGTTTTTGAGATATAAGAATTTAAATTTAACCAATTATAGATTACGATTAAACGAAAACATGTCTGTGAGCGCGTCGATAGTGAAGTGGTCGCGCACTTTACGCGAGTACTAATAATATAATTGGTTAAATTTAAACCTTTATACTTCAAAAATTATTGCTTAAAATAAAAATTTACAAATAACTTTTTTACTTAATTTTTCAAAGACCTTGCTATGATATTTTGATTCGCGGAATTTCGAGACACCCTATAGTTGTCGTTTGTACATTACCCTTGTAAAATGAAACCAATTTTTTAAATAATGATATTCAATAAACGCAGTAAAGTAATAAAAATATATGCCACATTGCACTTTGAATATACATTTTGTTTGAGCAATACATAGAGAGAGACTTCAGGCAATAATAATAAAAAACAAATGAATAAAATAATAATTGTGTTTATCCTAATTCATTCTTTTGTTGTTTTTTAAATCATTATTTTTTTATTTGTAAATATTGTGAGTTAATGTATTCATCCACTTTACACATAAGAGTTAACAGCTTTTACTGCCATACATTTTAACATAATTAATCATTAATTATTAATTACAAACAAATTTCAAAAAGAAGGAAAGAAAGGAAAGAGGGAAATAGAAAAAAGTAATTTATTTATTATTCATCTAGTTACGTTTTTTATGTTTTTTTTTTATGATTTTGTTTTATTATGTTTGGCTTATAGAAGACTGAAGTAGATAGAGATTTGAGTGAGATCGAAGAGAAGATTCAAAAGGAACAGAAGAAGGTATATAAAAAGATGACAATGTTGTTTAAAATGAATCTTTATCTTTACTTAATAAAATATTTGGTACATGTCTGTTGCGGTAGGAAATAAATTTTGGGTAATTTTTTTCTTTTTTTTTTACATAACTACTTATTTTGTTATTTTTCCATGATATGTGCGTGCGTGTACGTATGTATATACATATAGGATGTTCTTTTTCAAACAGTCCAGCCAAATATTTTGAAAACTGATCCCGGCAAGCAAAAATGTTTCAGACAAAAATTGTATGGTCTGGATGAGAACAAATAATGGTAAAATCGAATTTAAAAAAAAATCGATTATTCACGTGAAAGTTATTGCCATTTCTAAAATGGAATTTATGATTTTTTATGTAATATAATTTTTTGCAGATTAAAGTATTAAAGAAGAATTATTAAAAAATTCATAGTTTATGAAATAGTTTATATTGATAGAATACTTTATTTTGATATAAAATATAAAATATTTCGTAATCATGAACATAAAAGTATGTATGAGTATAAAAGTATTAACCTATAAAGGACATCTGGATGCGAATTCGCACCAAGCAAATTTTTTTAAGTTTTATATCTTCTGAAAATAAAAAGCAAAATTAAAGCAAAATGTGTTTCTCAATGTAAAATTGTCTGACTAATCGATTGGTAATATTAAATTTTCAAAAAAAGAACGTAATTGTTTTCAAATTTTGTGTTAAATAAAACCATTCAAAAGAGAGGTGTCCTTTACGGGTTAATTTATCTCATTATTTTAAGTATAAAAGTATTAAAGTATGGTTATCAAAAAGTTTATATTTCATTGTAATAACAATATACAAGAATGAAGTATAAAATATCTCAAATTATTGATTTTTTGATAACTCTAGTACCTTATGTGCAGAATAAATAGAAAAAATCATTACGTAAAAAATTATAAGTTGAATTTAAACAATTTGCGAATAACTTATGTGACCTTGAAAAATCAGTTTTTTCGAAAATTGGTTAATTGTTTCTCTTCATATCATATAACTTTTGTGCGAAACATTTTTGTGCCGGGCAATTTTCGAAATATTCGGTTAGACTGTTTAAAATGAGACTTAAAAGGATACCCTGTATGTACACTTTCACACTTGTATGTATGTGTATGTATAATATTGCTAATACATCATCTGTCTCTGATAGGTAAAAATACGTATCTTTCGAAAATATTTTTATATAAAAACTGAATAAAATCTACAGTATCTATTATATGCATATCAAATTCTACTTTTGTATAAAATGTGTACCGATAACGCTAATGCATTATTGGTGCTTTGCTGGCATGCATGATCTATTACACTTTTTCCTCTGATATACAAAATAATTATAGCGCAATATAGTAATACTGTCAAATAAATAAAATCAAATCCCACGATTTTTTCACGTTTTTTCGATTATATTAATTGTACAAATACAACAGTATATACAAGCATACTGGTTAATAATATGCAAGTTTTACTATTCTTACTTAAAGTTATAACAAGCAAATGGAATTCTTTATAAATTCAATTCTATCTTCTTAAGGTCGATAAGCTTCGTCAACAAGCTGAAGAACAAGAATCGGTATTACGGAGTCAAGAGGAGGAACTAAACTTTAAGAGACAAGAACTCGAAGGGCTGCGACAAGAGGAGCAGCAGTTAGAACAACAACAGAATAAAAACAGGGACCAATTAAATGAGCTGACGAAGAAGTTGCAAGATACTCAATTAGAGATCTGTCAAGCGAAGGCAAAGATCACTGATTTGCAAGAACAGCAGCGTCAGATGAGCGATGCCATAGCGCTTTATGATTCTGCACTCGCTGCAGGAGACGTCAATCTTGTACCTGATACTAGTCTACAGTTTGTACCCGAGATCGAGGATATAGAGTGCGTATAATATTTTATTTGAAACAAATCTTTCCTTACCGGAATTAAAATGACGGAATTTTTGTACGTGTAAAAAAATAGATACGAAACAACAACTAAGCATACAGGTGAAGGGAATGAAATGAGAGCAGATGTAACCAGCACTAGCGCTTTGAACGGATTTGGAGATCAAGATCCTTTTGCATCGAATAAAGCCAAAGAAGCATTTAACGCACCGATATCCGATCCGTTCGGAAGCGCATTTTCTGCGCAGCAAGCTAATGTGAGTTTATTTTTTACTCTTTGTTCTCCTGTTTTTTACAACTCTTGCGCTACTCTTATTATTTTGCAATTGTGTCTATGTAACGATGCATAGACAAACAATTAAAATATGGTTGTGTGATATATACAAATACGAAGTAGTAGAATAGCGCAAGAACAAAAATAATAGAGGACAGTGAAACGGGAAATAGAAAAAATGCCAGATTATCTTACAATATTTGATTATAACAATGTAATATTTCT